GGTGCTTCCGGCGAGACATCGCGTTTTTCTCACAAATTCTAACGGCGGCATCGACGGTACTGTAAAAAAGAAACTCAAAACAAGAAATTGCTCATAATTGCGCCCTGACTCAAGACCCGCAAGAATTTGTCGCTGCCAACGAACCAGTTTTACATATGGCGATAGCGCAGTATCACAAAGATTTGAAGGCAATGCAAAGATTTTTTATCCCTCCCGGTGTGCATTTTATTTCTGAAGTTCTCGTAAGAAAGGTCGATATCTCGAACTATGGTACTTGGCTGCCGAGGATTCTTTTTTGAGGAGGTGGAGGAGGCAGAGTCTTATAGCTCAATTCGACTAATTTAGATTAATTCTTGTAAGAAAGGATTAAGCCTAATTACAAAACTCTGCCCCCATAAGAAACATTTATCGCTCTTGGCTGATTGATATTCAAGCTGGTTTTCGCTAAAAACCATTCTCTTACGAGCTAGCTCGCTACAAATTTTTTTATACCGCTATTATACGGTGCTTGCTTAAGAGTCAAGGGTTTGGCTTTGCTCCTAAACAAGAAAAGTTCTTAATTTCAAAAAAAAAGCAAATTGAAGCTTTCTGCCTTCCAAGCCTACGATAGAATCTTTCTTCCAGGATTTAACGAGCACAATGGCAGTTATGTCAAACTCGCTACTGCCTAACTTCCTTAGGCCTTACGACAAACTATGCGATGTAATGAGAAAAGACGGTCCTTTGGGTATTTCAGTTTTACATCATTTGAAGTTGTTCCCCTTACTCTATAACGCTTAAGGACTGAACTACTCGGATTACACATCAGAATTCTTCGAGGTGAATGCTAAGCTCAGCGAAGCTGCTCACGGGGACCACCTTGTTACAGAGTTCATTCCTGCTCTTGGTGCGGATGTGAAGGCAGGTTATACTATTACCCATATTTTTTGGTTCTTTTTGCTTGACATTTTGTGAGACTATTGTCTTTTTGCAAAAACTTTATAACATATCCTGAGCAATTTGAGGAACGACTTGAAAAAGGCGGAATGATGTGCTTGGATGTTGGTTGCGGTAAAGGAGTTCATCTTACGCGATTAGGTTTGCATTCTCACCTCGTACTTCTTTTCAACAATTGTGCAAGGGATTGTGAGCCCAATTGGGTTTTGCTTCATCTTGCAAAGAACCGCTAGTTTAAACGAAGATGTAAAGGTCGAACAAAACCTATTTATAAAATTAAGAGCGAAAGCGCAGAACATCGGCATAATAAATATCATTTTTTTTGTAAAAGGCGTTTGTCAAAGTTTCAAATTTCCGTAGTTTGCCGCAAAGTTTGTTTTCATAATAAAATTTGGTCATCAAATGGATGTAGCTATGATGTAACAATGAAAATCTTGGCAAAAATATTAGCACCCATAGCAAATCAATTTTTGTACAATTAACGTATTTTCGTTGCTGCATTTCAATACTGTTATTCTTCAACAATTCTTTTGTTTCTCTATAAAACCATCACATATAAGAGTTTCCTTCTAGGCCCTTCCTTAGAGGTTCGCTTCTACACAAATTATTGTCAATGTACGTTTTTATTTTGAAGAGCAAATTTAAATCAAATATCCTCATAAATGCTCATGTTCCATCCAGCTCATTCACTTCCGTGATACAGTTGCTAGAGGTAAACAACCACTGATAGCCATGCATTACCATAAGCTGTGACTTAGTATTTTCTCTTAAAATTTGAGGCTCGCCGCTGGCTTTCTGTCAATGAAGTAATAAATGTAGAGCGAGCACTTACAGAGCCTCACGCATAGGACCAACACGCTTTTTCGTTGATTTCTCGTTAACCACTGCTTGTACTGAGAGTAAATCACCTGTCTATTTGTTAAATACATAGAAATTCTGTAAAACTTCAAAATGAAGCGGTACAAGCGATCCGCCTATAAACAACTCGAGCTCACTTCCGATCTGCACTATCTTCTCGATATAAGTGCAACATAATTTATTTAGAATTCTTCAAAATTACTGCAAAAAAGGCAAAATCCAGTTCATCTAGCATTTTGAGGGAGATTAGGTGTAGTCGAAGATAAAGGTAAGC